CGTCGGGTTTGCTAGTCTAATAATAAGACATTTGTGCGGTTTTTAGATTATGTTTTCTTCTTCAGTATGGAAAGTTCTTCACAACATTGCCTTGCCATAACATTTTTTGGTCCTAAATAATACGTAACATCTATGTTTATGTGTATGTATGTTCTGTCTAACAGTCTGCCCGGAGGAGCTGTTCAACGACTTGTGCAAGTCTTGTGCTGCTCGCAAGATCAAAACGTTGAAAGAAATTAACATTGCCTTCTTACCTTATGAATGCCAGGTTCATTTTACTAACATTATTAAACTCACATGCATGGATAATAGATATATGTGTAGTATTCTATATTTATTTAGTCTGAAGTAGGCCATATATTTCATACATAGCCTACTTCAGACACATTCTGCACTTATATTCAAACATATCACTAACTTCATATCAGAATGTATTTAATTAATGCAATTTTTGTGGATTTATGGTTCTAAAATTATTTCAATATAAAAATTAGGTTTATTAATTCATATTACTGCATGAAAATATTATTAATTTAATAGTTATATGTTGTAATCACCACTAAAATCTTTCACTAACTCTGTCTTTTATTATTTATTATCTCATAGCCAACTTCACACACATTCTGTGCTATCACAGAGCCATCTATTCAATTTACTCGCACTAATGGCCGTTATATGACTAACTTCATACTAAAATATATTCGTAGATGTAGTATAGTGTAATTAACGCATTTCTTGTGGTTTTATGCTTCTAAAATCATTTAAATAAAAAAAATATGTTTATTAATTTATATTAGTGAATGTTGATATTTAATTAAGCAGTTTCTATGCTACATCAGTAGATTTTTTCCAAATTGTAAGGCCAATTCTCCGATAAAATTGAAATATAACATAGCATTGTTATGGTAGTAAAATAGATTTTTTATTTTATCGCAGAATTGGCCCTTGTCTTTGTAAATTTTAAAATATCAATCTTTTATTCCATAATAGGTCTTTTCGTTGGATTCTCCCGATACTTTCCAATGTAGCTACAATCCATCTTTGATAGCAGCTCGTATGGCCAATATGGAACGTATAGCCGAACAAGTGGCCACTTTGTGTGCCACTTTAGGGGAATATCCGAGCGTCAGATATAGGGCGTAAGTTTATAATATATATATATATATATATATATATTATCTTATATATAAAAATGGAGCTCTCGATCAAATGATCCGCTAAAACTCGAAACCCCCTAAACCGATTTGGCCGATCTTAGTCTTGAAAAATTCGTGCTAATCAGTAGGTTGTCGAAAAGGTGAGATATCATTTCAAAATCGCGTACAAACTTTACATTTTTAATTTGAAATTTTTGTAGAAGCGCAATTTAAATAAAATAATGGACGGTGGCTAATACATCAAATGTCGAACGTTTTTGACAGATGATGTTCAATTACGTTTAATAGCATGTTTTACGTGAATATTATTTAATTATGATTGAATAGTAGTAAGTACTTTTGTTTGTAGTTTTATTTATATACAAAAAACGTTAGCAAACGGTTCGCAAGTGTTACTAGAAACTCAAAATATCAACTCTTTTAAAATGTTAATACGAGAATGCACTTTTTGGCATATTTTTCTCAAACACGGTGCACTGAAAGATCTCATTTGTATAATTATATACTCATTGGTGTTTATAAAACATGCTCTAGGTTATATTATTTTTGTTTATGTTATTTAAATTCAGAATCTAAATTTGGTATCGATCAAATGGACATTTTGTCGAATAACATTTTCCCAGTTATAATTTCGTCAGAATTTATCGAAGAATAGATAGTAATTTATGAAGGTCCGGGGTTAAAAAGGTCCACCACCGATGTGTCAAAAATCAGTAAAGTTAAGCATTGTTCAACAACAATATTTGAAAGTTAGAGATAAAAAGATGTATAACCAGCTACAACCTTGATTTGAAACCGGTAATCTTTGAAAATCCATAATAAAAGTATTGACTTTCGTTGTAAAAGTGTAATTATTTTGTAAAATACCTTTAAAATTAAAATAAAACATTAAGACCTGTTTGCTACCTGGCCGTTTCAAGTTACCCCGTCTATGGGGTAAAAAGGTCTAGATAACAAATTTTTGAAAGACATTGAAAAAGCACATTTCTACAATGATGAAGTAGCTGGCAGTTTTACTGAACGTAGTCAGATAATTGTTCGCTTGAAATGTGTTATTTGTTGTGATATAATTGGTTTGGTTTTTAAAATATAATTTATATTTTCTCAAAGTCAAATTGGACCTTTGTGCCTCGCCCTGCTCTACATATATACGTTTTATTAAATTTACTTTAATTCATCAAATGTTACTTGAAACTTTTCAAAAACCAGGTCAAAGAAGAAATACTTAATTTATTTTCTATATCTTCTCACAGAAATTTGAATATTTTGTATAAGCTCAGTAGTATTATTTACAATAATACACAAAATCCAGAATCCAAAAAGAATCTGAAAAACTTGAAACGTAATCAATAAGTCGAAAGACCAAAAAATACTTGGTTTGAATGAATTATACCATGTTTTCTATAGAAAGTGTATAAAACTTCCAGTTTGATTGTATTGACAAACTAATGGGGTTTATTGTTTTTATAATACCTCAACGTATATAGCATTCAAACAACACATCCTTATACACTTTAATTAATTTCTTTGATTCTCTAGAAATTGTTTAGAATATACCTTACTTAGCAAAACAACGTTTGCCGGGTCAGCTAGTATATATATATACGAGGTCTGTTCAAAAAGTACCCGGAATTTTCGTTTTTTCAAAAAAATATTTATTTATTCGTCTACATTAATGTGGTCCCCTTCAAAGTAGTCCCCCCCAGATATAATACACTTATGCCGGCGTTTTTTCCAATTTTCGAAGCACCCTTGATATTCACTTTTTGATATGTCCTTGAGCACTCTCAGCGATTCGGCCTTTATTTCTTCAATCGAGGAAAACCGCCGTCCTTTCATGGGTCTCTTCAACTTTGGGAATAGGAAAAAGTCACACGGAGCCATATCTGGTGAATTTTTGCACTTTGCAACACTTTATTTCATTTTTTACGCAAAATTTAATACAAATTCTTTGACTTTTCAATTCTTCCATTGTAAAAATCGCCGAGCTCAGAAAAACACGTCGAACCTTAGCGACTACCACAGACAAAGTAAACAGTGAATATAGCTGAAAATTTCATCATACTTTAGGGGCATGTATATTAACACAATAAAAAAAAAATTTTGACAATCAGACACTCCAGACCCGCGAAATTTAATTATTAGTAATTCCGGGTACTTTTTGAACACACCTTATATATATATATATATATATATATATATATATATATATATAATATACATTACTATTTACTGAATCTATTGCTTTTATTTGCAGAGACTGGGAGCGTAATGTAGAACTTGCCCAACTAATTCAACAGAAATTGGATGCCTACAAAGTAAGATGAATCTAATTCATGTAACAAAAATTATTTCCCCATATACTACCACTCAAATTCTATTTTAGGCCGATGAACCTACAATGGGTGAAGGCCCTGAAAAGGCCAGGAGTCAACTTTTGATCCTGGACAGAGGTTTCGATTGTGTCTCACCATTATTGCACGAATTAACTTTGCAAGCCATGGCGTACGATTTGCTACCCATTGAAAACGATGTTTACAAGTAAGTATAATTAATGGGCCAATAAACGATAACGTTATCTAATCCTTCTTTCTTGGTAGTAAACTCTCTGAAAATGTCTATCTATTTACTATACGATTAGTCGTATTTTACCGTAACAACGCTATCTTATCGTCTATGTTATTGCAGAATGAACCTATTAATTTAATTTATTCCGTGTTTAATCTCTTAACAGATATGAAGCGACTGCTGGACAGCCTGAAAAGGAAGTATTATTGGATGAAAATGATGAGCTGTGGGTCGACTTGAGACATCAGCATATAGCCGTTGTATCACAGAACGTTACCAAGAATTTGAAGAAGTTTACTGATTCTAAAAGGATGCCACAAGGTAAAAGATAAAAACGACAAAATTTTCAAAGACATGTTCTAAACAAAAGTGACATTCAAATGGGTAAAAATACCTGCACCAGTTTTCGAGACAGGTATTTTTACCCACCCCGATAATGTTTTTCTTCCCTATTTCGTTTTCGTGTTATTGATTTCCTACTATTATTTATTTCCCAGGTGATAAGCAGTCAATGAGAGATCTCTCCCAGATGATCAAAAAGATGCCCCAATATCAAAAGGAGTTGAGCAAGTATGCGACACATTTGCATTTGGCTGAAGATTGTATGAAGGCCTATCAGGGCTACGTAGATAAACTGTGCAAAGTGGAACAGGACCTGGCTATGGGCACTGATGCCGAAGGCGAAAGGATCAAGGATCACATGAGAAACATTGTGCCGATATTGTTGGATCAGGTAAAGGAAACAGAAAATATCAAACCGAAGTTATGGTGAATTCAATCTTATTTTTAACTTCCCAAAGAAGAAGTTTGTTTTAATAAAAAAATCCGATTTTATGTTTTCTCCACGTTTCAAGACATTCTGAATCGAATGAGAACAAAATGTTATGATAAGATTCTTCCTTGCTTGTTTATATGTGAAATATGCACAGCAAATAGATAGACATTGCCACATATTTACTATCAAAATCAGTTGCCATGACAACGCTATGTTATGAGCCAGAATTGGTGAATTCAATCTTATTTTAATGTCTTTTTTTCCTCAGAATGTTAGCAATATGGACAAGGTGCGCATCATAGCCCTCTACGTGATGTCGAAGAATGGAATCAGCGAAGAGAATTTGGGTAAACTGGTGACCCATGCACAAATACAACCCGATGAGAAACAAATGATCGTCAACATGGCTCATTTGGGCTTGAACGTTGTCGTAGATGTAAGATGAAAATATCATATCAGTCTCAGCATATGAATTTACTGATTTTTATTTTTTATCAGGGTAACAGAAAAAAACCATACACAGTACCACGCAAAGAAAGAATCACCGAGCAAACTTATCAAATGTCCCGTTGGACACCGGTCATCAAAGACATCATGGAGGATTGCCTCGAAGACAAATTAGACCATAGACACTTCCCATTTTTGGCCGGACGAGCCCAGAGCTCCGGATACCACGCACCAACCAGGTGAGATAATAAAAACATGAAAAATATATATAATACAACAAGAATTTTCTGATTTCTATTTCCTTTACCCCAGTGCTCGTTATGGCCATTGGCACAAGGACAAAGGCCAGACGACAGTGAAGAATGTACCCCGTCTGATAGTTTTTGTAGTGGGTGGTGTATCTTATTCGGAGATTCGTTGCGCTTATGAAGTCACGGCCGCTGCCAAAAATTGGGAAGTGATCATCGGTTCGTCTCATATCATCACACCAAAAACGTTCCTCAAGGATCTATCACAGTTGGCCGGATAAAGACGAAAGGTGTGCTTCGATTTGTAAGGTAAGGTAATAATAGATAGATGAGAGATATATGCTATATATATATATATATATATATATATATATTAGAGTGGTCCTTAATATGGATATTTTCAATTTTTTTTCCCAGGGGCTCAAATGCTTCCAAATTGATAAATAAAAATTCTCTAGAAGTTTTAGCTCTCAATATTAACATTTAGATAGTCCGCAAGTCAATTAAAAGTTTTGTATATTTATCATTAACATATGTCATTAAGTAAATTCTGGCGCCATCTGTGATAGCACACTTGAAATTTCGATGGCAATTTATTACTGATAATTTGAGTGTCAAAATCACCAATTAAATAAATATTTTGCTGCAAAATTGATTTTGATGCCATTATGAAAAAATATTTCGTTAAACAGCCCACAAAGAATTAATTAGAGGTTAAGTGATTTATAAATTTTTAAGTGTCATACTATTTGAGTACACAAATGCATTCGCAGATGGCGCAAGTATTTACTTAATAACATATGTTAATAATGAATATACGAAACTTTTAATTGATTTGCGGACTATCTAAATGTTATTGTTAAGAGCTAAATCTTTTAGAGAATTTTTTTTATCAATTTGGAAGCATTTGAGCCCTTGGGAGCGAAGAAATTCGAAAATGTCCATATTAAGGACCACCCATATATATATATATATATATATATATATATATATATATATATATACTGTATATATTATATTTTTAGGAACGAAAACAATTCGTGGAAATCACTTCGAAGAGATGAAACGCGACAGATAATGTGTTATGTAATATTTGTACATATGTATTTTTAACATTTCTCTTTCAATTACTACTTAATTTACGTAATAGATACTTTATCTTTTTTTTAATTATTTAATATTTTAAAAATCAATTTGTTCTATTAATAGTATTAAAAAACTTCTGAGTATTTTGTTAACTGAGGATGAATTTATTATAATGTTTTGTAAATTAAGTTTTGTCTATTATTGACGCTTTTTGTGTAATAAAATATGTAGTTAAAGTAAATATTGTACACAAAATCTTTGAAGGATATAAAAAATGTCTACTAGAAACAAATTAATTTCTAATAAAGCTTAGCTTTATAATTTTGAATGTATGTATTTATATTTAAAAAAAAGCTTCAAATACTTCTTAGCAACTTGAATGTTACAAAAGTGACTTATTGGGAAAAATTCGAATCAAACTTTGCCGTAAAATACACCAAAGTTATGGCAAGGCTATGTTTTATATAAAATAGTACTAAAATGTGTCAAAATGATATTAGATATAAAACCTGACATAGAAAACGCACAGACGTCAAAAAAGAATGTTATTTTAAGTGCAAAAGTAAAGTTATATTTTATGTGTGATACGCCTGATCGCGCAGCAACCACAATAACATTTTGCAAGTTTTTAGTACCATTTTATATAAAAAACGCAGCATAACATTGGTATATTAACAAATAAATGTTAAAAATATGATATTAAAAATTTTAATATTTTATTTAAATCGAAAAGCGTTTTGCCAAATATTTGTGGCTTCAAATAAATATAGAAACATTGTTAATGCATTTAGAAATTAGGAGTTAATTTTGATTGATAAATGTCTTGTCGAAAGTATTAGGAATGTAAAAATGATTGTTCATAGATTCATATTATATAGGGTGGTCCTTAATATGGATATTTACGAATTTATTTGCTCCCAAGGGCTCAATTGCTTTCAAATTGATAAAAAACAATTCTCTGAAAGTTTTATGTTTTTAAGACAGTGCGCACTCCAATAAAAGTTTCTTGGTTCTTCTTAAGTAAATACTTATTTTATGAAATATATTTTGCGAATACAATGTTATTCTCCACTTGTCGCTAAGTTCTACAAAACAAATGGAATTTTACCCATGTTATATTCATAAAAAGCTTTTAATTGAATTGCGGACTATCTTAAAGTTGATATTAGGAGCAAAAACTTTCAGAGAATTTTCTTTTACCATTTTGGAAGCATTTGAGCCCCTGGGAGCAAACAAATTCGAAAATATCCACATTAAGGACCACCCTATTATATATATAATTTTTTGCATTTAAAATTTTCTCATCCTGCACACACCAAATTTAGCATGTCTAAATCAACTGTTGTTTTCAATCAACAAATTTATAAAATTAGAACTTCAAGTTTCAAAATTTTATAAAACTTCCAAAAAACAAAAAAATGTTTGTAATTAAATAAATCTTCATATAAGCTTTAGACAATATAGTAACTCATATTTATTCCCTCGTGTATAAAAAATGATGAGTATAAATATATATAGATGTAAAATATTTAAAAAAAATTGCTTAATATATTATAATTAATATTATATAGAGAATTAATTTATAGTAGCGAGATTTTTTTGGGACTGGTGTGTGTTCCGAAGAATAAAGTAATATGTTTTAGTGATGTGCTAAGTCTAATACCCTTAAAAACCAGATTTCAGTTGATTCGAATTAACTTGTATCAAGATGAATTTGATTAGTGTGAATTAGGGAATGCAATACCGATGGAAAATTTCAATACCGGTATTTCGGTAATTTTTCATTTTAAAACCGGAATACCGGTAAATTACCGGTATTTTATTATCTTAAACAAACGTAAACAAAATTGAAAGTTACTAGTACAAATATAAAAAAACGTATATACAACTACAACTATATTCAACTAAACAATAAAAATAATAAAATAAAACAATAGGTTTATTTTTTTCAAAATAACAATTTAAAAAAATTATATCCAATTTAATTAATTCATCATCACTATCGATTCTATTGAGCACTTTTCACCAAACACAAACTTATGAGTAAGAAAAACCAAAAACTCATAAAAGATCATATTACATTATTATAATAAACTGTATTGTCTGTATCCGATGTGTTAAATTAGCATAATCTCCAATATTTTTAAAAAATAATTTTTCTACATTAATTTCGGATCGAATACTTTGTCGAGATAAATAATAAGTTACTATAATTGTTATTTAAAACAATGTGATGCTTCTACAGTATTTTCAAACTTCGGAACGTTTTCGAAAAATAATATTTTATAATTGTGATAAGAAGCAAAAATATTTAGTTATTATCTTAATTATTACGTATAAAGTTAGATAAAAATAAAGATTACGCAGGGGTAATCTGTATGATATAAAATATTTTGGCGCAAATATCACTTTTAAAAAACCGTTACATTTTTACAAAAGATAAAACAATAAAGATAATTATCTATCAGTCCAATTCTATTTATTGTAACACGATATGAATGAATCCTTTAGTAAAGCAATAAATATTCAGTTTAATGACGAGTTGAGATAATATTTGACATTTGTTTATCCTATAGAATCACTTGAAGATATAGCTGTTTATGCGATTATGGAATTTAAAGTTAAATTTGCTCCGAGAAATTCAAACTTTAGTGTATTATGTATCAAATAGCGCTTATGTAAAAATACCGAAAATACCGCTATTTTTGGGGTAAATACCGGTAAAAATACCGCCGAAAAATCGGGCGGTTTACCGGTAATTCGGTATACCGATATTGCATTCCCTAGTGTGAATTGATTTGATAATATGTTACAACCATTTATGTATTTTTTTATAGCAATTTATGTTTACAACCTTTACTTCGTAAAGTATACTCAACTATTTTTATCATAAATTATGACAAAAATTTAATAAATAAATATATCTAAAGGTCATTTTAGTCATCTATACGGCACGTCACTAATAATATATCATAATAATTCTGTCTAAAACACAGTCAGTTCCAAACAAGTCTGTTAGCTTGTATCTAAGTTATGTTTTTGATTTATTATATTTTAGATCATTGTTATAGATAAAATTTCCATAATAAAAATATAGAAATAATAAAATGTCAATTTAAAATCTTATGGTACATCTATAGAAAAGAGGATTAATAAAAATTCATTATAAATAAATAAAGTCTTTTGGATATGATTAAGTGAAAAAAACATTAAGATAACATAGCGTTGTTGTGGCAACGAGAACAGTAAAAAGTCACCCAAGTATTGTCTAAGACAATATGCATAAGAAAATAGTTTGAAATATAAAGAAGACTAACTTATATAATTACTTCTATTTTCTCACAGTTCCATCATCCTCCTGTATTTATATTGGTCGTTCACCATTTCCAAAAATACTCTGTATTTTTTCAAATGGAATTTGGCGACATCTCCAAAAATCGGCTCGATCAATTCACCTCGGCAGCCCATGTTTTCGAACAAATCTATTTGCACTTTTCCTTGTTGCATTTGTCGATAGGCTGTTGCACCAGATATTGCACCACCTGAAACAAATATAAAATATCATATATGTATAAATATCAAAATCATATATGTCCTGGGGTCCTTAGCGCCCGCATGCAACTTTTTTTCTAGCGCCCCCCCCCCCTATTAATTTTCACCGTTTTAATAGTTTATCATTAAAATTATATAAATATTTACATATTTTTTAAAAATTAATTTTTAATTATTCTGGATTTAGTACACAAAAAAGATATAATCTAGAAGGGTATAAAATATATGGATTTTAAATTTATTTATTATTATCGATATCAATAAATGACACAATCCCTGTCATAATTTCACATTTTAGTAATATTCAATATGTAGTAAATTGGTTAAGGATATAAGTTCGACTACCATAGCAAAAGAATTGATATTTTTGTTAGATTAAAGTTATAGAATTTAAGAAATGCATTTCAGAAATAGTATTTATTATTTCGGTATAAAGATCTTGATATCAAAATAATAAATACTATTTCTGAAATGCATTTCTTAAATTCTATAACTTTAATTTAACAAAAATATTAAGTGAAATAAATAAATTAATTTTTAATTATTCTGGATTTAGTGCACAAAAAATTAAATATAATCTAAAAGCGTATAAAATATATTGATTTTAAATTTATTTAGAAAATCGAGGCGATTCGGGGGTTTATTATAATCAAGTATTTTGAAATTTTCAATTATTTTTAACGTATGTGCAATATTTTTATTTAAAAAAAACTAGCATTTAATTTTCAAACATAACACTCGTATTTCATGTTGGATTTTTTAAATTTTAATTTAATTTAATTTTTCATCATTAACAATATCTAAAATTGCGTCGTAAATTTCTCCTTATTGATATCGTAAGAGCCGTCATATCCAGAGTATCAGCTTGTTGTTTTAAAGTTAAATATTTAACATATTTTAGAAGTATTGTTAAAAAATCAGTAAAAAATGCAAAGAAATTACACATGTCTTGAACAATATTGAAAAAAAAACTTATTATATTTGATATGTATTATTTTGTGTACACCACTAGGTATAAAATAAGCCTTAAGATTTTCGTTCTAAAGTAAATTTTACTTCCATTTTTCATATTTGTTCCATGCATTTCTTCAACATTCAAAGTTCAACAGATGCGAAACATTTGCAACAAAAGCAAAAGTTACAATTCAATTTCTCGGAATAAACAAGTCATTTTTTAAGCACAGACTCCAAATTTTTTATAATCAGTTTATATTTTTTAACAAGTTCCGATTCAACTAAATCAGCTCGCAAATTTTCGTCAATAATGCCCAACAATTAATTTAATCTTTCGCAGGTTTGCGCTTATGGGAATGAACACTAGATAATTTCTTTTTCGATTCCACGGTAACTTCAAACAAAAAAAAAATTGAATAAGTAGATTAAGCAAAAAACAGAGCTGTTATTTACTAATTTGCTGAATTATTAATCGTTTAATTGTTTCTACTGATATCACATTGCAAAATAAATATGCTTTTTGTGTGTCCGTATCCCTAGTTAAGTTAAATTATTTATTATAATTTATTAAGTATTCTAGATTTTAAATGAATAATTCTAGATTTTATATAAAAAAATATAAATATTATATTATAAATTTAATTTCCGAAACTCGTTTTTATATTATATATATATATATATATATATAATATGTATGTATGTATGTAAACTTTCACAATATTTTTTCTAAACAGTGATTCAACTAAATTCACAATGATTTGAAATATCGAGAATACACTACAATTCGAGTGCCTGCATGAAGCATAAACTTCACCTTCGTAAAGTTAAAAATATAATGTATAATATCTACTATAATATATATAATATATGTATATAAATATATTATACATATTATCAATATCATTTCCCCCTTACCTATCAAAACAGATTCCTTTTCCTCGGGTATCAGCATGGGCAATCCGCAAACATCAGCTTGTGTCTGAACGAATAAAGAATTATTCGAGAGACCTCCACAAATTAACAAGATCTCTATAGGACCCACTTCAGCTTTTTCTAATTTCTCAATAATATGCCTGGTACCATAGCATAACGACTGCAAAGTTGTCAAATATAACAAAGCCAGATTTTCTATATCTGAGGTCATTGTTAGACCACATAACATACCTAGAAAAAAAAGAGTGTGAAGTAAAACTTATCTGCTACTGTACAAGATGGCATTTAAGTAAAAATAAATACATCATACACATTTATATAATGATTAATTATAAATTATATATTTATAATAGCATTAAAATGTGATGTATAATATTTGAAAACAATAATGTAATTAACGCCATACTTCAAATATGACATGATCGGTTTGTCATTGTAATTAGCATTTAGGACTTGAACCTTCATTAGAGAAATGAAGTAGTTGCTGATTAATAAATTCTGTAATATTCGTTAAACAACGCCCAAACAAATATTGTTTTCGCAACTTCACTCATCATGTAATAATTGTGTTTGAAGAACTTCACGTAATTAAAATTAACATACATTCATTGACTGCTTGCATTTTTTTTACTTTTTTGCGATATAATCTCATTCTTTGAACAGCTGTAATATCTGTCTTGCCTTAAAATTATTTTCCATTTGAATAACTTCCCGTAGGGTAGTTATAGTAATGGGCCGAAAATCGAAAATGAAAATTTTTGCATTTCTCGACGTTTTGAAAGTTTCTGAACATTTTGGCATACCTCAGAAACTAAATGGATGTGTGTTTGTGTGTGTTTTGTATGACCGCATTATTTCGTCCACGTTTTCGGGAGCACGGATCAGCCGATTTAAATGGTTTAAAAAACATTCGATTCCTATTAATAGAGAGATGTGCTGATTAGTTTTCGGCAAAGGCAGGTCTAGCCGTTACGGAGATATGGAGCAAAGAGTGCAGAAAATATAAATCGAGTTTTTGAGAGAACGGATCATCCGATTTGTATGATCCAAAAAACATTCGATTCCTATTAATAGGGAGATGTGCTGATTAGTTTTGGGCAAAGGTAGGCCCAGCGGTTTCGGATATACAGAGCTAAATGTTAAAAAATGACAGTTTTTGAGAGAACTAAGCGTCCGATTTAAATGATTCAAAGAACGTTCTGCTCATTTCAACAAAATAATTGCTTTTGGAAAAAAAATTTTGTTTCTAATTTTTTTTTCAAAAAAATATTTTTGTAATTTTGGATTAAAAATTCAAAAAATCACCCAGGCTAAGCACAGTCTAAGTACCACTCTGGTACAAATGTTTACCCAAGTGCGTTTAGACTGTTCATGCACTGGAGAACATTTCCAATTTTGTAAAAACTATTGAAAAATGTGAAAATTCTGCCAAGCTAAGCACAGTATTAGTGAAAATGTCGCACAGAATTATTTGCAAATGCGTTTAGACTGTGACTATACGGGAGCACTTTTTCAATTTTCTGTAAATTAGGCAACTATTTTTTTGAAATTGAATTCGAAATGAAATGACGATTGTTAATGTTCTGGAGATAAATTGATTCATGATTTGCATTTGATTTGCTCATAATAAAATAATAAAAGTTACAGTTTTATATTTGAAAACGTTTAATTTTTCTCGAATACTTTATTACGGTACGGGAAGTTCCAGAAATTTGTCTTAAGGCACGATGCCATCCACCACTAGTTTTATTATTTTTATTATAATTATTTACGGGGGACAGGGTAACATGTTCTTCTGATTCAGGCATTTTTCATTAAATCAAGATTTATATTACGATGTAACTTTAAAATGTTTATTTATCTATGCCGATTTCTTTGTCGATATCGGTACGCGTACAACGTTGATGCCGGTACGCATACAACGACAGATATCTCTATTCACATACGCGACGACTAATCACAATCGACTCGTGTAGAAATGATATCATCGAGAGCAAATGACGAATCATTGGCACTCGACCCTTATCGACTCTTATCTGCCGTAACGCACTTTCGTTGCATTTGTACAGATTTACACCATAGTCGCGTCTAAAGAAGTTTTACTTCAAAAAATAGATAGAAATCCAAAAAAGCTTATATGGTTTAGCTCAGTTTTCTTTTATTACCTTTTAGTGTGGAATCAGCAATAGGTGACCTGTTCCCATGAAAATCAGGCCAAACATGTAAATCCTTCGTCAAATATCAAACGTTGTCCAGCATCTTTGCTTCTTGGCCAATTGTTCCAAATGTTTGTTCAAGAACTCGTAAACTCTATTTTCGTCATTATCGACAATTTCTAGAATTTTGTGGTAAGCTGCATGGTTTTGCACAACAAAATCTAAAAGTTTGCCAGTTGCACTTTGTCCAGCCTCACTTAGGTACATATTTTCGAATATGGCGTTGTGGTAAGGACCCCAGACACCGGGAGTGAATTTGTAGGAATCCTGGACGATCATATGACATGTTGAAGTACCTGAAAGGATAAAAAAATAGTGAGATGAAAATATAAAATTCTGAAGATACAACTCGTCCTTCGGAGTGAATCCGAGGGACTTGTATCGGAGATTTTATTTTTAAGGCAATTCTGCCTCAGAAAATTCTGCGTTGTCATGACAACGCTATCTTATGCTTTTTCGTGTTAGAGTAACTGTGAAAATGTTTATGTATTTGCTGTGCGGTCAGGCGTATTTTACATGTAAACAAGCAAGGAAGAATCTTATGATAACAGAATTCTAGATAGTGCAGTTACAAGATTCTTCCTTGCTTGTTTATATATAAAATACGCCTGATCTCACAGCAAATAGATAAACATTCTCATAGTTTTACTATCAAGAAACAAGCATAAGAAACCACAACTGCCCGGTAAATCTATTAACAATATTAACATGTAAAGACATTAGCTTGAGATTGTTTACCAATACATAGATTTACGTCGAAAGAAGAGGATCACTTTTTCGTCTCATAGGCAATTTTAGGACTTTCCAGGTATACAATGTCTCAAAATAATGCTATTTTGTATTCTATATTCAGTATACGATAATGGTTGTCCGTAAATGAGCCCTTTCAATGGTATACAACAAGCAAAAAAATATTTAGCATTATGTTATTACTTTTACACAATTATGACTTTATAATTGTCTAAAAGTAATAGTATGTTAATCGAACTATTTGATACACAATTAATTCTCGAAAAGGAAATAAAGGTATTATTATTTCGTGAAAAATATTATACATTTATTAGTGAAGATTTGTCCTTCTTTCATAAATAAAGTTTACAGCATTATTCTCATGTAAATATGAAAATATTAAAATAATTCTAGTCTTTCTCTTTAAAAATAGTTCTCAGATTCTCAAAATTTCCGTTTTTTCCAATAGGGTAAATTTTGCATTTCCTCACGTTTCAAAAAATTCTGAACATTTTGGCATACCTTAAAAAAAATGATGTGTACATTTTTTCGTCGACGATTTCGGGCGCACGGATCAACCAATTTGAATAATTCAAAAAACATTCGATTCCTATTTATAGGGAGACGTGCTGATTAGTTTTTGGGAAAGGCAGCTCTAGCCGTTTCGTAGATACGAAGCAAAGAGTGCAGAAAATAGAAATTGAGTTTTTGAGAGAAGGGATCATCTTATTAGATTAATTCAAAAAACATTTTGCTTGAGTAAACGGTGTGCAAAAAATGCATTTACAGAAAATTTAGTAAATTTGAAAAATTAAAAAAAAACAAAATTTTCAAAAAAAAATCAAATTTTCGAAATTTTCATCAAAAAAAATTAAATTTTGAAAAATTTCAAAAATATCAAAATTAAAAAAAAAACGATTTCTCACAAAAATTTGAGATCATTTCGAAATTTTCAAAAAAATTGAATGTTTTCAAAAATTTCCAAATTTTCAAAAAAATTAGAAAAAACTTTCTTTTTGAAAAAATTTCAAACTTCTAAAAAATTCAAAATTTTGAAAAATTTTCTAAATTATCAAAAAATCTAATTTAAAAAACAATATTTCTTGTACATACACATAAGCTATATATAAAATACGTCGTCGTCCAATTTAAGCACTTATGTATTTACAGTATGTATTTATACTAAATAATCTAATCGAAATTATTTAAAACAACTATTGATTATTTTTATTCCTCGAATGTTTAATTACGGTACGGGAGTTCAGCAATTTGCCTTAAAGCACGATGCCATACACTAGTTTTGTCTCAATTTCGGCATACAATTTGAGATTTGTATGCAAATTGAGAAATGCATAAAATAGTAATTTCTTATAATAAAATGTATGAATATTTAAACTGTTTGTAAACGATTTCATACAAAACGTAAACATACTATAGAACACACATTTGTGCCGAGTATTAGGTTTCGAAGTTGTCGGAGTTATTAAGTGGATATAACTCCAAGTCCTAACGGATCCGGTTTTGGATATAATAAGCCCAACTGTAGTTAGTCATATTTAATTTGAAAGCACTAAGTTATAATGTCCACTTACCACAAATAAGACTCAGTTTCTTCCTGCAATCATCTGTGACTTTATCATTTCGTGTACTCAATAGTCCCAAGGCTCCCGAATGAGCATCTATCAGTCCAGACGATACTGCCACTTTTTGCAAACTGGATAAACCAAAATATTCCTAAAAGATCGCTTTTGAGAACACCACAAAATGTTTTTGGTGGTATAACTTTATCACCAATTTTTCTGCTCTGGCAAAGATCAGTCAAGTCAATTTGTTGGAAGAAGTCGAGAGGCCAACCTGATTTTTCTGGTTGAGCTTCACCTGGAAGAAAAATTTTTATATGTTAAAATTTGCATGACTTGAAATTTATTTATTATTGAAGTAAAACTTCTTTAGGCACAACTAGGGCGTAAATCCGTACAAATGCAACGGAAGTGCGTTACGGCAGATAAGAGTCGAGTGCCAAAGATTTGTCATTCGCTCTCGATGATATCATTTCTATACGGATCGATTGTGATTGGTCGTCGTGTCGTGTGAATAGAGATCTGTCGTTGCATGCGTACCGGCATCAACGTTGTACGCGTACCGATATCAACAAGGTAATCGGCATAGATATAAATAAACATTTTAAAGTTACATCGTAGTACAAATCTTGATTTCATGGAAAATGCCTGAAGCAGAAGGATATTTTACCCTGTTCTTTGAAAATAATGAAACAAATAAAACATTTATGCCGTGTACTAAACAAGTTTATTGATTAGAAATTATTTTTATATTATTCGTAGTTTCTATAAATCTTTGAAGTTATTGTAATGGAAAATGTTTTTTTTTTTTAAGACAGATATTACTAAGGTGACCATATTTTTTCAAGAGGGGGGGGGGTGATTGCTAAAAAAATAAAATAATTTTGAAATAACAAATACTATTTAAGAATGCAAGAAAACTCATTTTTTAAATGAGTATTTTTCTTTACATCAGAGTTTCCGACAAAGAACTTTACTATTCGATTATATGTTAACATATATATAACATATATATATTAATATAATTATATTATTTTTAATTTTTTGGATCTAATATATTTTTACGTTTTCAAACATATTATAAAATTTTAGTCAATTTTTCTTCATAATTATTTAAAATTAATTATGCACTTATTCCAGGAAGTCAAGTTCATTCTCATAATGTTTAAAAATTTTCGTAAAATTGAAAATAAAAGTTCAAAACTATGAATGGGAGAGGCTATTTTGACTCGCCCTTTTTCATATAAGCTGCTACTAATTTTCATATAAGCTACTTCTTCATAAGTTATTTAAAGGGTAGTTGTAATTTTTTAAAAAAACCCGAGACACAAGGTAGAAATCCGGGACTGTCCCAAACCGGGACGTATGGTCACCTTAATATTACAGCTGTTCAAAGAATGAGATTATATCGCCAGCAAAAAAAATAAAAAAAATGCCATCAGTCAATGAATGTATGTTAATTTTAATTGCATGAAGTTCTTCAAACACAATTAATACATGATGAGTGAAGTTGCGAAAATAATATTTGTTTAGGCGTTGTTTAACGAATATTATAGAATTTGTTAATCAGCAATTACTTCATTACTCTAATGAAGGTTCATTTCTAAATGCTAATTACAATGACAAACCGATCATGTCATATTTGAAGTATGACTTGAATTACATTATTGTTTTCAAATATTATACATATTTTTAATGCTATCATAAAAATATAATTTATAATTTATCATTATATAAATGTGTATAATGATTGATGACACTAATAAATGTGTGCATCACGAATGTTTCCATATTACTAATAAACATAATTCAAAATTGTTATATGATGTATTTATTTTTACTCAACTTAAATTTGCTACTTTATACAGTAGCAAATAAGTTTAACTTCAATCGCGTGTGATCCTTACTCGCATTCTTTTTTTTATTATTTTATTATTACCTGACTGGTAGCACCATTTGCACACCAGCGTACAAAGACTTCTGGTGGTTGCACCAGTCGCCTTGAATGTAAGAAAATCGGCCAAATCCATAAAATGTCCAGACTTAGACCAAGTATCAGGTAAATTATTTTTCAGCCACAACAACTTAGGAATTTCCATCTCCAACGAAATTTTACCGCCAACTTGCTTGAGAACTGGATGGTTCGTGGAATTTATTAGGTTTGCTTCTTTTGATGCTCTGGAGGAAGAAAAATAATATATATATATATATATATATATCATATATAAAAATGGAGCTCTCGATCAAATGATTCGGTAAAACTCGAAAACGGCTAAACCGATTTGGCCAGTCTTAGTCTTGAAAAATTCGTGCCAACCCAGAGATAGTCGAAAAGGTGGATATTATTTCAAAATCGCGTAGAAACTTTACTTTTTTAATTTGAAAATATTTGTAGAAGCGTAATTTAAATAAAATAATGGACGGTGGCTAATACGTCAAATGTCAAACGTTTTTAAGAGATGATGTTCAATTACGTTTAATAGGATGATCTACGTGAATATTATTCATGGTTAAACTGTAGTAAGTAGGTTTGTTTGTAGTTTTATTTATACACAAAAACGTTAGTAAACGGGCCGCAAGTGTTACTAGAAATTCAAAATATCAACTTTTTTGAAATATTAATATAAAAATGCACTTTTTGACATATTTTTCTCAAACACGTTGCTCTGAAAGATCTCATTTGTATAATTATATACTCATTGGTATTTATGAAATATTTTCTAGGTTATTTTATTTGTTATTTAAATTCAGAACCTAAATTTGGTATCGATCAAAAAGACATTTTGTCGAATAGCATTTTCCCAGTTATAATTTTCCAGAATTTATCGAAGAATAGCTAGTAACATATGAAGGTCCAGGGTTATAAAGATACACAACCGATGTGTCAAAAACCAGTTAAGTTAAGCATTATTTAACAAATATATTTGAAAGTAGAGAGAAAAAGATGTATAACCAGCTATAATCTTGATTCTTATGACTTTGCTATCAAGAGATCAACGGTAATCTTTAAAAATTCATAATAAAAGTATTTTCTTCTGTTGGTAGTTTTTTAGCATTAGTTAAAAATATAATTATTTTGTAAAATACATTTAAAATTAAATTAAGACATTAAACCTGTTTGCCACCTTGCCGTTCCAAGTTACCTCGTCTATGGGGTAAAAAAATCTAGATAACAAATTTTTGAAAGACAAAAAAGCACATTTCTACAATGATAAAGTAGCTGGCAGTTTTATTGAACGTAGTTAGAAATGTGTTATTTGTTGTGATATAATTGGTTTGATTTTTATAATATAACTAGCAAACCCGACGAACTCCGTTTCGCCACCAGATGGTTTCGTGAGAAAGATGAAGAAACTTTTTGTTTATTTTATATTTGAAAAGGAAAAATTTGATTTTATTATACAACAGTAATGAATTTATTTCGATTACAAAAATAAAGTGATTTTTAGTTGAACTTCTCTAAGTAAATGAAAGTGAATCCGCAAATTATCCGTTTCATTAAAGTGCTCTTTGGTAAACCACATTTTTTGTTTTTTGGTCTGACGTTAACACAAACAAAGCGGATGGTTTTCCAACTCGTGAACAGGCAACGTATAACTGCCCATGTGAAAAACAATGATTTTATAAATAATATATTTGAAATTTATCCCGCAAACACTAAGCTATTGGCCTTGTTACTTGTTATTGCGAACGCAAAGCGAACTGGAAATTACAATCGTTTGAAGTCAAACGGAAGACCAGTCGGAATCATTGGTATGTCACCAAATCGCCAGCAATTTTTGATTGAATGGTGAAATTCAGTGCGTGTACATCATTATTCTTTGCGGCAAGAATTGCTCGTTGACTTAACCAAACATAATTCTGTTAATTTTCACTAATGCCATTACTCGAATTTTTAATTACGGTGCGTAGAGTTCCAGCAATTTGCATTAAGGCACGATGCCATGACCCACTAATTTTCTTAGCTATAAACCTTGCGGAGCCCGAGACCTTTCCAACTAATGCAAAATTGTCGAAATCGGTTTGTGCGTTCTGGAGTTATATCGTCAGGAAGGAAAACCCGGCTTATTTTCATATATACATATATATATATATATATATATATATATATATATATATCCAAAAAATAATATTGTGTAATATATTTTTTCGTCTTACCTGTGATCCATCCACAATATAATATTCCTCCCATCGTCTCCGCTTTTGGAAACCGTTAAATTTTTAAAATCCTCGTTCAGGACGACTAGAGAGCAAGTTGCAGCAAATCCTAAGCCTTTAATTCGAGTCTTGTCAATTTTTTCGTCCTTGTGAATCACGTTTTTGATCACTTTTTTGACTTTAGACCAAATTTCTTCAGAGGACTGTTCGTAGAAATTTGGTTCCGGATTCCATGTCGTTATTTGTTCCACACTGGTGTGCAGGACGTGACCTGGAGAAAAAGAAAATTGGAAAAGTTAAATAGGAACTAGGTGTAAGTAGTATTTTGAATTATAAAAAATTATCAAAGCTAAAATAACCCGCGTGTTTATAGGATTCTAATTAGAATCTAAGTCGAACATATGAAATTGTAAAGTTAACTTATAAAATGTATATGGCGAATGTAAGTGCATACAAAGTCAACAAACTAGCTGTAAGTGGAATTCTGTCTTAAGGCAATTAGGGCATCGTGCCTTAATGCAAATTTCTGGAACTTCCCGTACCGTAATTAAAAATAATCAATAAAAGTTAATCAATGATTTGAAACTTTTAATAGAATTTCGAACAATATTAAGTCATCTTAAATCATTTTATCTTAAATCATTTATTTTGAAATATTTTGGAAATTCTGAACTTTTTTTCAAAGCAATCGCACTGCTTTAACTGCATAAAGACGAAATATCGAAGCGCGTAAGCGCCGCGTCGCTCTCTAACGCGTAAACATTGGTACGGAACCCATAGGAAAGTAAACAAAATTTATACTTATTGTTAAAATCTCTATAAAATATCTAATTATTTGATGTGAATGTTTATTTTTGACCGTTAAATGGCTCATTTTTTTACTTTGTTCTCCACATCTCCGAAGTCGTTGCACCTGCCTTTCCAAAAATTTGAACAGTTCTTCACTCAGTTAATACAAATAAAATGTGTTTTTAATTATTCAAATCGGACGCTCCGTTCTTTTAAAAACTGAGTTACCGTTTTTGGCACTTTTTGCTCCGTATCTTCGGAACGGCTAGATCTGCCTTTGCCAAAAACTAATCAGCACGTCTCCTTATCAATACAAATCGAATGTTTTATGAATTATTCAAATCGGATGATCGGTGTTCCCGAAATCGTCGACGAAAATTTGTATCCGAACACACACACACACACACACATACATCCATTTTTTCTAAGGTATGCCAAAATGTTTAGAAGGTTTTGAAACGTAAAGATATATAAAAATTTTAATTTTCGATTTTTTTGCGATTACTATAACTTGACCTATGGGAAGTTAATAAACAAAAAACATATGAAATTTCTGTAATACATAGAAGAAATATGTATAACAAATATGAATATGTTTAACAAATTAATTTAATTTATACAATTACAAACAGATTATTTTTTAAAGAAAGTGAAAATTTCAAATTCACTGTTGAATATTTTACTTATGAATCTCAGTTCTTAAATTAGGGCGAATTCAAACTATACAAAATTTTATTCCAAAGTATGTAACAAAGTTTATACAGTATTTTAGTAAATTTTATCTAGTTTCTGCTAAGTAAATGTAAAAAAATGTCCCGATGCTCGTGAAGAAAACTTAGAATCATATATTAAAGGCAAGTTCGTATTGGATTTATTCAAAATTTTCATATTAATCTGTTTATAGGAAACGTAGTAATTTTAATGGAATATCCGGAATGAAGTTTTCGTGTTATTTAAATAAACATAAAAAATATACATAATTAGGAAATATACATATAAAAAAGAAAATTATAGAAATATTATAAGGAAATTGAAGATGAAGAATATTGAAAAATTATATAAAGATATTTTAATTATAATAAATATTATGACTGAGATATGATAATATTATTCTTACCTCTAGAATCGACCAATGCGGCCCTGGCGCTTCCAGTTCCCACGTCCACACCAATGTAATAATCCATAGTGTTAAACAATTCAAATTATTTAACCCAAAACACTATTATTACACTAATTAGCACACAAATAACACCAACAAAAAGATTTAAAAGAATATCTTGAACGCGTTTGTTGTATCTTCTAACAGAATGTTATTTTTAGGTTATGTCGATAAACTTCATGACATTTAAATAATCTCTTTAATATTTGTTCCGCATTTATATGTATGAGTTAATTATGTTCTTTTAAGCAAGCGATAAGAAAAGAACGTAAACTTAATTATATTTACCACAACGAATATTAGTATCAACAAAACAGTAATGAAAATGGGTCATTTGCCATTTGCAAATTACAAATTACTATCAAATCACGCACTTAACAACTTTAATATTTGTTTAGAATATAATTATAAAATTTTAGAATGCATTTATAATATTGAGGCGATATTTAATGAATTGAGATTGTACAATAAAATGAGATTGTTTATGAACTTATACTGACCATAAACTGAAACTGCTCCTTGCTCGCACTATGGCGGAAACGGTGTTACCATAGATAAGGAAAGGGTGTTACCAAAAAGGATGCCATGTTTAGTGTTACCACATGTTTGCCTTATTCAAAAATTAATAAAATATTTTGCAAATTTATGTTATTTATTTTTTACTATTACTACAGATCTCCGCATATCTTAATTAAAACGGGAGTAAATGGCATTTTTACTTAAAGCAGGTTACACTTAATAAGAATCGATATATTTTAGTTCAATAGGAATCATAACATTAACTGGTTTGTTTGGTATTTTGCCTTGAGGCAAGTTACATGAACTTCCCAATATGTGTAAATAATCGACTTAATCAATAAAAAATAAATTCATTTATGAGTGATTAAAAGTGTTCCGAGTGGATTTATTACACATTATTGAAAACGAACGAACACATTAACTCGGAGCATTTTCTAAAAGCATATTTTCAAAAATCAATTATTTTTATAATTGAACCAGTTTCCGTTGGACTTTAATGGTTTAGTATGTTCATTAAGACCAAGTACTCTATCATTATACCAAGTAAATCGTCTAATTTTAATTTTAACACACCTCAAAAAAACTACTCATTTTCTCAAACTTTGATAAATTTTGAAAATTAAGCTACTTGTCATAAGACCTTAATTTTTCAGTAAGTTCTATAGGACCATGATATATATCGCCAAAAAAAGTTTCATAAATATCGGCTTAAATTATTATTACATACTTTTTCCAAATTTGGTCTCATTCGATTCAGAATAACTTGAAACGTCGAAAAAACAAAATTAACAAATCGGATTTTTTTATGAAAACAAAATTCTCTTTCGGGAAGTTAAAAAGTAGACTATTATTGTTACTGTGAGTAACTATTGCAGAATTTTTAAGAGTGGTAATTATTTTCAACAAATGATTCAAATATTATAACGAACACGCGTAATACATACACAGAGTCTTTTAAATTTTAAAATGTTTTGTTATTGAACCACTAACTGTTTAGACAGTGAACTCTACACCACCTGACAAATTTTCATCAAGATCTCCAGATTTCTTTTTAAAAAATAAATTACGAAAAAACAACTTGCCGATCTTTGCTTTTTTCAATCCTGCCGTTCGCTTCGCAAATTTAACTACCGCTCGTCCTTGTCGAGTTTCAGCAAAATTATTAAATGATTTCTATCCAGTACTCTACTCTATCCAGTCGTTTTTTTAAGAAAACGCTGACGAAAAGCAAGTTTTGTCCCATACGTGCATTTCCAATTTCGGTCTCAAACGATTCAGAATCACTTGAAACAACGTGTCGGATTTTCATGCTTCAGGAAGGGATAACTAAAAACAAATTAGTTTTTATTATATTTTTGAATATATTGCTTGTACCGTATAGTCACCATCCATGACCATACACATATATGCATAAATATATATATACATAGCACAATATGTCCTTATAAAACTAAATCATGTGTCATAATTCATAAATAATAACAAAAGTATCACAGTCGAAGTAAATTAAGCGTCTACGCTCTCAGCAAATCAAAATCGTCGCTGACGTGCACCAGAGGTACATGTGTCTCGTCTATGTGAGGTTGGGATTTAAAATCGCACAAATTGTGCTCCTTCATTTGCCACTCC